AGTCTTCTATTCTCCGCGAGTGGGATCGAGCGGAAGACATACGGATTTGTGCAAGGGTACTCAAAGCACGAACCTTCACAACCTAGCCATTACTGGTCGACCTCAAGATATTATATATGGTTATTCGACTGGACTTCCTCAGGATGGCAACAACAATGTAACAATAATATAACAGCATTTGACGGAGACCGTAACATCTATGAGGCCGACGTTAACGAATACTCTACAGTCACCTGGTATGAGAGAACATTTTATACACCAGCACTGCACAGGTCACTATGCACCTACCTGGGAATGCAACGGTTGTGGTACTGGCTTCCGTCGACGTCAGCAGTTGAGGGATCATGAAGGATTCTCCTGTAATCCTACTCGGACAATAATCACCTACCGCAATCCGTTAAATTATAAGAGTATAGTGAACTAGTAAGTCCAACTCCATCGATCTCTTGCCAGCATGAGACTATACTCCATGACTTGACAAACTTGGAGTGGTCAACGAGGCCTCGAGTGCAAGGCCACATGAAAGCAAGACTCTTGACCGGGCAACCATTTCGGCGGGACTATAAGTCGAAAGTACCATTAGCACCAAGACATTCTTTTCTACACAACCTCCACCCCTGTCCAATGAAATGAGAGGCTGGCGCAAGTTCTACCACAAGGATCTCCCATGACACCAGCGAATTGGACCTCCAAAGCGACAACGTCCAGATGATTGATGAGGTCCTTCTGGGTAGAACTCCTCCTTCTTCGGAATGGAAGAAGCCCAAAAGACTTCGTCCGTTTTGTGATTTGAGAAAGGGGAAATCGAGTAGAAGAACTAGCGACAATGAGGACTGAGATTCCGCCACAGCCGTGAGATACCTGCTACATTATCACCGATATGACATTCATACATAAACATCCGCGGCCATAACACAAAAATCCAGCCCTCTAATGGCCGTGTCACAGCTTTGTCAGGTATACCATCCATTCTGCCTGTTATTATTCATCCTGAAAATCCTAACCAGTTTGATAGGGGTTTTGCCATAAAGACTGGTTTCGCATACATACCTTAACCGCAATTTACAGCATCGCTGAGATATGAAGAATATCTTATCTAAGGACACCACACATGTGATCAAGAAGTGGTCTACCTGCGTCGGCAGCGACGCAGAGATCGCAGAAGCCTATCATAGGCTGAATTCAAGGGATATCTGATACTGAGGCGCGACTGCAGCATTCCATGATATGATGCTGCGAACGTCTGGACTCATCACCACTCTATTCCACCACATCTCCTCTACCCACTCTAAGGACTACGTCACTGTCGGTCTTCGTGGTCTCGAAACATGCATAAGAAGATGAAGATGATATAGTCTACGTCCTATTTGCTAGTCTATACAAGGAGACAGCCACTGATGACGGTACAAACGTCCTTATCTCCCTCGTCTTAGAAGAGGGAAAATAAGGCAAGAATCGCTTCAAAAAGCCCAAGTCTGAGTCTAAGGCCAACCTTGGGACCTCCACCCACAAACAAGATTGGGTTGCGCAGGTGCTGAATAACCCATCCACATTGGTCTTCCCTAGGGCTTGTCCCTCAAGGCGTCCTTGAAAAAGTGCAAAAATAGCTCAACAGCAAAATCAACGCCGTCATTCAAAAGTACAATCTCACTGATGAAGGTTGGCAATTCAGACTTGCGCGCGTTCATCAACCAACATGGCGGCTTATTTGGCATGAAATCTACGGTGTGAAACAGAACTTGTGTCCAAAAGGCCTTGTGCAGGTTCCCAAGGACAACAATGACCTATACTACCGTGGCAATATGACTACTGCATCTAGCAACCTTAGCGGCTGCAGCTCTCGCCTTCAACGTTCAGCTCGGCTAGATCATCAGACAGTACCTTATGCCACATATACTTCGACAGCGCCGGATTCACCGCGCCTCGGCGGCATTTTATTATGCTGGCCGCCTCGTTCACGTTCCATGTGCCAGTAACCTCCAGCCCCTACATATTGTCGACTCATACGACAAAGGAAGGCTAGTCTGGTAACTCTCCACACACATGATAATCGTCGATGATATCAGAAAAGCAAATCTGGTGGAGCTCTGCACACGAAGTAGCAATCAACAGCTGTGGCACAATGGATCTGAAAACCGGAATAGAACCCGGTGACCCCATAAGATATGAGAGTTACCGCGCATATCCCACAGTGCAGAACAAACTATTGTAGAAGAAGCTGGTCAGACTCCATAAAGTCCTTTGTCATGACAAGAATTTTACGCTATATCAGGAACGACTCAATAAATATGTCACATCTCGTCGAACAAAAGACTCAATGACTGTGTTCAAGCCTTTTAATTGACAACAACAGGCGTTCTCAGACAGCACAGCTAGCCAAAAGCCCCCTGCCGTATGTTTGCAAATGACACAGAGGAAAGCCAATTTCTTCCAAGATCAAAAGTTATGAGAGGTAACTACAAGGAGGTCTTGATTCATGCCATCGCCGCCCTTATCAACATCGCTCGTACTGGGTTGAGCCGCAATATCACCACCCACGAGATCCACATGGCTCTCACATCCCCCCAAATGCGATTTCTGTGATGACTATGGATCACTCTTGTTCCTACCGACTTGCATTCAAATCTGCCACGAGTGCTCCCTTGGTTCATATAACTAGATGGTACAACATGCCTCAGCCCAAGTACTCCCGGTTCTTCGACTCATTCTCCCAAGCTTTGGAATAAGGGAGCACAATAAAATTAATAAGAAGTGATCTGGGCTGTCTGTCTTCACTTTTCGTGGAAAATCCTTTCTCTATGCCCCAGGCCTGAGCGACTATGGCCTCATCTGGAGAAAACCGGGACAAATCGGCCACCTCCGTGAAGAGAGGCCCTGTCTACAACATGTTTCTCTCTCTGAAGCGCTCAGGTGAAGAAGATAAGACTGACACCGGCTGGGTGAAAACTTCCAATAATCAATATTCGCCGTTGATTCATAGACCTGCCATCGTCCCATGCCCCAAGGCGCCCAAAGGAGATGAGCTTATCTGTAGCCCAAAGATGACAAAGGAGTATATTGAGGGGGATTTATTGTCGGAGATGACCCTGAAAAACACTTTAGCAAAGGTATTCCAACCAAGGGTACCCCAACCAAGAGTACTGAGGCGAGTCCGAGATCTACGAGATCACCAAGGCCCAGAGTCTCAACATCAAGACTCTTGGAAAGGCCCCAAACTCTGGCATGCGCCAGTACCTGATCTAGTCTCGTATCTAAGCGGTATAGATAAGCAAAACATCCCTATCTTTTCTTTATTATCGGTATCAGTTTTCGGTCGGATAACCGCAACCATGGATACAGCGGCGTGACGATTGCCACGCCCTCAAGTCACCACCACCATCGCCCAGAAAGCAATCTATTGGCGCAAACAGGGAGGACGAAAAGAGGCAACAGACTTTAAACGCTATCACGTCTTCTAGATCCTACAGATAAAGGTATAAGACGCTAAGTTAGGTTGATGGCTTTTCTGGCATACTGGATTCTACAATAGTCACGACCACCGTGATGATCAAGACAAACACAATGAAACAAACCATGAAGCCCTGGGCTCCGGGCAACCCCCAGGATCAAGCATAAAAGAAGAGTACAGAATTATTCAGAGATAGCCGAGAGGATCTTTCTATTGGGAATCATTTTCCTGTCTACGTACTAAAATGTAGTTGGGCGAGCCTCACAACAAGGCCAAGGTCAAGCAGGCAGACAGGATCATCGTCCTACTTAACCTGAACAAGAGCGGCGATGACTACCCCAGGTAGGCCACCGCATACTGGGAGGACTACGTAACGGGCTCAGATAGCTATAAGACCATGAATTCTGGACTCTTGGCATGTAAGATGGGCGAGGAGGTCTCCGACCAGCCCGTCTTCGTCGATAGCCTGCGTGGCCAACGTCTGTGCGATGAGCTCATCCGGCTCCAGGACAGTGCGCGTCCTTCACAAATATCAAGACTTATTCTCCCTTGGTTATCAGGCCGCATTCAGAAGGGCCCGGATTTGCTTCCGAGAGAGGTCGGTATCCGTGATGCCGCGCATACTCTGGCGGGCATCGTCAGTCCCTGATGCTGCAAGTCCTCAAGTATACCACACTTCATCAACAGATGCCAGAAGATAGCGCCACACATCAGGCAGAAGAACAAGATTCCTTAGAAGATGCCTTAGTTACTTGGAACTTCCTGATACTAGAAGCTAAAATAATCCGAGGCTGGATCGCATGGGTTTAGAAAGGCCATCGTGGCGGCAAGTTTGATCTTACAGTTTCCAGGGTCCACGCGCCAGCTGTGGGAAGTCGTGATCATTGAACAGACAACTACGAGAGCCTCGTTAACGCACACAAGATGTCGCCACGGGGACGACAGACCATGATCTTTGCTGTACCTCAAGCGGCTCGGGTTCCAGCATGACCACTAAAGAAATGCCTCTGCCTCCTGATTGTTACTGCTACACCCAATAGAATAGAAGCTTCGTTAGAACGTTCGCCAGAACAGTCCAACTCTGGGTACAACTAAGCACCATAGAGATAGACCCTTCTGGAACTAGAAGCGGAGCAGAATGCATGCATGATCTTCACAATCTCTCTGATGATAACCTGACCTCTGGCTGGTGGTTCAAATCGGCGGCGGTAATCAACATAACTGTCCTCAAAATGTATCTGTGGTATACATCAAATACCAACGAGTAAGACATGGATCTCATCCTATCCCAGAAAATACGCACACAAGAGAACTCAGCATTTTGCAGCACATAGGGAGTCTCGGTACACTCTTTCTAATGATATAATGAACACGTCTGGCATATGGGTCAATTGCTTGATGGCCATCAATATGGCCCCTGCTTCTGCCAGTGGCGAATGACACCGCCGGGGTTCGATAACCAATGTCCACGAACGTGGTTCATACTAAGAGGTCGACAGGGTCTTCGGGTGCACATATGTCAAGCTAGCCAAGAAGCTGGTCGGGAAAAGGATCAGCAGGACGCGGGCAATACGCCGTCGACCAAGAAGTTAAGCTCTCGGTGCGGCCTCGCCAAGAACATGACGACTCTGCTGCCATCGAGGATGACATCGCCGGCGAATTCCACGATCTCCTCGAAGACTCCGACTCCAAACCATGAGGCAATAAAGTCAGCAATACCGGCGATGCTGAGAGCTTCCTCGACGACAAAGACCTCACCACAGACGTCGAAACCCATTGCGAAGACGAAGACATCTCCGGCGACCTTGGCATGCTCTCCTAAACTCTCGTATTACGTTCTACACGAAGTCTTCCGGTGTCATATATAAACCTCATGGGGTCAGATTGAATCACTGCCCTTCCAAACAGAGGCCACAGTCATCAGTATCCAGCTCCTTTTCACTCACAACCAGGCTCAACGCACAGGAACAGTTGCGCTCTCCCGAACCCAGGTATCCGAAGATATTTTGAAGGAGGCCTGGGTATAGATGACCGCTTAGTTTATTCCTATCGCGTTTAAGGCGGATGACAAATACCAAGCGAGTGTCAAAAAGACGGCCCTTGAGCGACGAGTAAGCAACATCGATTGGATGAAGAGGTTCCGAGAGTAGCAGAAGAAGGAAGGCAGGGGCATCGACTTGCTGAGTGATGATAAGATACCCCCAGATCCAGATGACCTGCCAGAAGATCGGGTGCTGCGAAGAGACGAAGAAGGTGGTATTGGTTCGCCGGGAGGAATGATGCACTCAGATTGTCTTTGTGTACCTATGCCCAGTAGCGAATGTGGTGCAGACGGTTAAAGAGTGCATGGATACCTTTCCTATGCTGAAGGTCTACGTCTACTATAGGACCCAGGGATCATGTCCTTTTCGTGGGGCAAAGGTCATCGGCTCTGCCGAGTTCGAGCAAAAGCTCTTGGAACTTAGTACGGAAGAAGCCATCAAGGATCTGAAGTTTAAGCAGAAACTCGTCTAATACAGCACGGAAGAAACCGTAATAGATCCTATAGTATATCACCCCTTCTCCCGCCCCTATTTGGCTCTTCACTGGGCTGCGTTCGTCTCCTAACGAAGTAAAATTAGTATTCTTGCTGATGTAGAACACTCATTATACGCCCTGCACAAATTTCCAAAGACGAGAGGATATGTTCGTTTGGCGCCTAGATATCCTGACCAGACTGTGCGAGCAGTTCAGCTTAACTATGGCAGGCCAGCTGATTGACGCGCTCTACGAAACCCCAATGGCCCAGGATATCATCAAATGGCTGCCACGCCATCTTCTAGAGAAGTTGGCACTGCGAGCGACCAAACTAAATAAGACTCTTGTCGACCATGGGACTGATATCAGCAAGTGGAAGCTTCTCGATAATACACCATCATTCATGTCGACCACCACCTTCTTCATCAAAAAAGAAGCGGTCGAGCATGCCCTCTGAGGCACCCGTGCAGCGAGGGATCAGCGATCAATGGCCTACGAGGTCTGGTTTCTGACCGTCTTGGAGTTGGAGACAGCAAATGGGCAATATAACCATGATGTTTAAGGCATATGCGAGACACTTCGGTTACTGGCCAGCCCACCAAAGTACTGTAGCCTTTCACGGACAGGCCTTCAACAAGACGGCGAGAATGCGCCATATTAGTGCTGATGATAGAGATTGCGACGGACCGAACGTGTTGATGACAAGAGGGTGTCAAAGCCTGAGTGTTGGGTCACGGTGGCGATCGCTGGTACCGATCTGACGGAATCTGGGGCAAGGAAGCGCCAATGGCCGGAGAGGACGGGAATAAATATGATGTGAGCAAGGCCTTATCGTGCAACTGATGTAAGACAGTAATTATTACATTGGGGGTTAGATCGAACATAATGGAAGGATAGAGTGTTAGATAGAAATACAAACCACAAGTTACACATGAAACGAACAAAATCGCCAGCCAAGACCTGAATGTGACCATAACAAGGATACTCACTCCCGATACGACGGCTCAGCGCATGCACCCTTATCCCAGCCCAGCCCAGACTAACTAGCCCGGCCAGCTCCCGTCCGTCCCGCCCCCGATATCGCCAACAGCCGGACCCATGTCAAGCCGCAGCCGGGCTGAAAGACGCTCAGGATCAGGATCAGGATCAGGGGTGGCCTAAAATATCGGTGAGCCCAATGTCTCTTCGTTGCTTTGTATCTGTCTCTGAGACGTGCACACGTATACAGTACAGGTCGTACAGGTCACCTGGTTACCCTCCCTTATGTTATGTTGGGGGGCAGAAGCTTGTTTTGTCCTGTCTTATCTTACTCCTTATTTCTTACCTGTATTTCTTCTCTCTATTAATTGAATCTCTTTGCCTGAGCTCTTTTATCGTCTGCTGTTATGAGCGTTGTGATCATGTTTGACACTTCTTTGAATGGTGGGGGTTGTACAGGATGTGCAAAGATCTTGGAGTATGAGAAGAGACAGGCCGTAGAGTTGCTGGTCAATTCTGACGATGGTAAGTGTTGCTCTCATATCGTTGGCACTTGAGTCTCTCCTATCCCAGGATTATCCTTCATATCTGGTTCTTTACCGAGCATGTACTCAAGTTCAACTGACTTAGACCATTCTACAACTACCCAAATATCTTCCTCTACCCTCAGAACTCTCATCACGTCTTGAACAAGTCTTCAGGCCCTCTTCTGACTTACAATCAACAATATTCCCCGAAAGGCTAGTGCCGATTTACGGGGGCACCGGATCGTGTGGCTACTGATGCCGCAAGGCTGGCCAAGTGGCTGTGCACTCATCAATAACCCAATCAACGATCCATCATGACAAAAGGCTGTGGCGTGAAGCCTATGATAGCCAGCAATTGAGAGACAATCTCAACACTCTCGAGTGTTCAATTGCGAATGCTCAACCAAATATGACACAATCGGGCTCAGCGACTTTGTCTGTGCTTTTTTGAAGCTTTGATTCATTTCTTGGACTTTCTGCAAGGGAGAATAGGGAGAGAACCCTGGATTTGGCGATTGCGCAATCGCGTCATACCTGGCCCAATTTCTGAGCGGTCTCGGCGCTGGAGCTTCAGCGCTGACTCTTGTTATCTTCCTTATCCACAACACCACAGATCATAGTATTCGAGTTGGTGATAACCAAGAGTGCGTGTCTTGCGTCAAACACGCATTTCCTCATTGTTTTTTGTCTTTTCGCAAGCAATCGATTACCACGCCATCTCTTTCCTCGAGACGAAACCCCTGTCTGCCCCTCCCTCGAGATCCTCCACCGCTGCTCTGACCTCCAAGCTAACAAGCAGCTTCCAGACACACTCACGATGCCTTCACGGACGGTATCACCGACAATGTCACCAGGTCCCTCGTCTCCGATTCTCTCACCCCTCGAAGCCCCTGAAGATCCTGCCACAAGCCCCGACCTCGTCCATTCTTTGTCCCATACAAGCACCGTCCTCGCTCTCGCCGTGAGTCCACAGCATGAGACCATCTACGCCGGTACACAAGACGGAGAGATTGTAGCATGGTCTCTCGACACGTTCCGACAGGTCCGCCGTGTCCAAGCCCACAAGCGTAGTGTCCTATCCTTATCGTTGTCGCCCGATGCGTCACTCCTGTTTTCCAGCGCTGGAGACCCCATCATCAATGTCTGGGATCCAAGCACCTTGACTCGACTTTACGAAATTTACGGCTCCTACGATGTCGGCGATATCTTTTGTACTGCATACAGCCCCCAACATGAGACATTATACCTCGGTGCACAAAACGCCACCATTCAATGGGTTGGCCTCAACGACGTTACAGCTCGTGTGTCCCCCGAGTCACAGCAGCATCCTGATCGACGAAATCATCGCTTCTTCGACTCCAAAGCTGTTGGTGGCGGCGCAAGTACGCCTCGACGAAACGACGATCGATGGGGATTAATACCCAAAGCACACACTGTTCTCGAGATGCATGCAGGCTGCGTTAAAAACTTTGCCCACTATGGGTATGTGTACTGTATGCTCATGGCCAAGGGGCCAACAGTCGATGTTGGGACAGACGATGATGTCCTGATCTCTGGTGCGGGTGACGGTACAATCAAGCTTTGGAGTCTTGGGCATACTGTTGAGGATGACGAGGAGCTTAGCGGTGGTATCCAAGAGATTATGACACTGGGCTCTGACGACGGCGAGTCTGTCCTATCTCTGGCACTTGACAGCTCTTTTCTGTACGCTGGAAAGCTTGACGGTATCGTTGAACTGTGGGATCTTGATACTGCGCAGCGATTGAGGGTTATCAAGGCTCACGACTGCGATATCATGTCAATACAAATGGGCTGGGGATATTTGTGGACTGCCGCAACTAATGGTTGGGCCAGCGTGAGTACTCTTGTAGACCATGCACAACTTTTGACTAACAGTTTCCAGAAATACAGTACCACCCACTACGGTAAATACCAACACGCCTCCTCTGGAACCGTTCCTCAGAAGTATCAGTGCCTCCTAAGGTGGGAAGCTCATCAGGGCAAGGTCCTCGCATCGGCTGTCACGAACTACAAGAACAAGCAATACTTTATCACCGGTGCCAACGATGACAATATCTCGATTTGGTCAATAGACACCGATAAGTGCAGCAGTAAAGAGAAAGAAGTATCACAGGATTCGGACAACCTCTTACTGTCGTCATTGCGAGAATTTGTGTCATACAAGACCGTGTCCTCTCGCCCCGAGTTTGCGGAAGACTGTCGCAAGGGAGCTACGTACCTCGGTGCGCTGTTCAAACGTCTCGGTGGTCATGTTGAGCTACTCAGCACCGAGAAGCACCATAACCCTGTCGTCTACGCCCATTTCTCGGCCAAGAAGGAGGCTGCTGAGAGACGGAAGCGAATTCTCTTCTACGGCCATTATGATGTCGTCGCTGCCGACAGCCGCAAAGGCAAATGGGAGACTGATCCATTCACTATGCAAGGCACTAACGGTTACCTGTATGGTCGTGGTGTCAGTGACAACAAGGGCCCCATCATCGCTGCGCTGTATGCAGTGACTGATTTGATGGAGAATCAGCAACTGGAGAACGATGTCATCTTCCTCATCGAGGGCGAGGAAGAGTTTGGATCGTTAGGTTTTGAGGAAGCTGTCAAAAAGAACAAAGAGTTGATCGGCGAAGTGGATTACATCCTGCTTGCCAACAGTTACTGGTTAGACGACGAAGTCCCGTGCTTGACGTACGGTCTACGTGGTGTTTTGCACACCACTGTGTGTGTTGATGCGCCTCGTCCA